AGAAGCATAGGTTTGTGTTGGAGACAGCTGTGACTATACTCTTCCACAGTGGGAAATCAAAAGATAATGGTTAAAAAAAAAAAAAAAGATAATGGTAAGAACTGGAAATTAAAACAGCAGCCATGGAAGAATATTACTTAGAAATACAGAGATGCATACCAAAATAGTTTCAGGTGTTGAAAACAATTGGCTCTAGGGAAACTATTTCTTTTTATGGGAAAATCAGGGGATTACTGGTTTGTATAATAAGCCTTTTAGAACCTAAATACTTTATTCTTTAAACCACCTACTTGCATTTAAGTTTAAAAACTAATTTTAAAGATATAATTCCATTTATATACATTAAAAAATTCAAATAATTTTTATGGATACATAAAAATATACTACTTGTATAATTAGAGTGGTAATGATTAAGAATTATTGAACACTTCCTATGTGCCTGGTATTGTCCCAAGTGCTTCACATTGGCTGACTCAAATACATAATCCTTACAGTAACCATCATGGGCTTAGCATTACCATTATCCCCCATCTAAAACATGGACTGATGGGCAGACAGGTGAAATAACTTGCAGAATGTTGCATAGCCAAGAAGGGATTTAACTAGATTCAAACTCAGTCAGTCTGGCTTCAGCACCCCACACTATTACCTTCTCAAATAACAAGTTAAAACACAGAGAATAAAGATGTTCATTGAAGGCATCAGGGTATCTCCCTCTGCTGAATAAAGAAAAAGAATGGGACTGGCGAAGGAAGAGAAAGGAACCTTCATCCTTATCTAGAATTAAAAAACAAAATCAATTGTGACTGTTAGCATTTAATTCTGGATGGTGGGAATATGCACATTATATTATTCTCCATAGTATTCTATAGTTTCATAAATGTTTATTAACAGGGGAGAAAAACTTACATAAAATGAATTTCTCTTCCCTCTTAATGATAGATCAGTAAGAATCCAAGCTCTGAAGCCACTCAAGGCAGAAACCCCAGCTAACACTCATCAACCATGTAACCTTGAGCAAGTTGCTCAACCAACTCCTTATTTCAGTTTCCCCTTAAGTGACAGTTATTGCCTCATATAGTGCTGTAGTAATTAAACGGTTAATTCTTAAAATGGGGCCTAACATGCAGATGTCTGCTATTACTACTACTACCCTCCTTACTGTCACCCAGACATCCGCCACTACTAGATGATGTCTTGTTTGCTCCTTGCCCACTGAACTGTAAGCTCCAAGAGAAGCAGGGAAGAAGAGACTGTCCTGTCCTCAGCTGTAACTCTAATGCCAAGAACTGGGCTTAGTAAGTGGCAGTCACTCAAATAAATCTGTTAAATAAATTTTGACCTGCGGTGACACAGAACTGCTTGCACTATCCCCTGCAGCTGTCATGCTGTTTCACTTCTCCATCTGTGCTTCTGTTGCTCCTTCTGCCTGGAAGGCCTTTCCTAGCCTGATGCCTCAGCTCAGGCATGGGGTTTCTCAGGAAGGCTTCTCTGAGGTTGGCTACATGCTCCTCCTCTGTACACCTATAGTGCCTTTTGCAGAACTCATTTATAACACATGACTTATAATACTGAAATGATGTATGTGTGTGTCTGTCTACCCACACAAGAAGTCAAGCATAGCGATTAAAAGTATCCACTCAGCCCAGGTTGGATGCATGAGACAAGTGCTCAGGCCTGGTGCACTGGGAAGACCCAGAGGGATGGGGTGGAGAGGGAGGTGGGAGGGGGGACTGGGATGGGGAATACATGTAAATCCATGGCTAATTCATTTCAATGTATGACAAAAACCACTGCAATGTTGTAAAGTAATTAGCCTACAACAAATAAAAATAAATGGAAGAAAAAAAAAATAAACTTGGTTTAGGATTGGAAAGAAAAAAAATAAATAAATAAAAAAATAAAAGTATCCACTCGAGTCAGACTGCCTGCATTTGAATCCTGGCTGTGTGACCGTGGGCAAATTACTTTATGTTTCAGTTTCCTAGCCTGTAAAATTAGGATAATAATAACACTTATCTCACAAGGCTCTCCTAGGATTAAAATGGTTTCTATTTGTATTTATAAAACATTTACAATAGTCCCCGGCACCTGGTAAACACTATGTAAGTAAGCCGTAACAATCTCCTTGAACACAGACACAAGTTCTTGCCCATGTTTACATTCCCTCAAAGTGATGACTTTTATACTGGTCCAAACAAAAGGATTAGTGCCCAAACTAAGTCAGCTGCAATAAAGTTGGAGAAGGGGTGATGGAGAAGGGGTGATGGATATGAGACAAGTTTAGAATGAGAAAAAAAAAAATCAACACACCACATGACTATAATGAAATTCATCATAAGGAAGAGAAAATTTAGGATGACAAGATTTGGATTCTTGATGGACCAGATTTTATTCACAAGATGAAAAATATAAGAAAAAGAAAAAGAGTTTTTGGCAAATTTTTAACAACAAAATGCTTCATTCAATGCTTAAACAAAGAAGAACACTTAAAAAGAACACTTCAAACTCTGATTAACCATGCCAGAAATCTGGTACATTGTATCTAGAAGAACTTAAGCTCCATGAGGACAGGGACTTTTTCTGTTTTGTTGGCTGCTTTATTTCTAGCTCCTGCAACATACAGTAGGCATTTATTATATATTTGTTGAATCTGTGAAAGGATGATTTAGGTAAGTTTCAGCTTTCTATGTCAATTAAACCAAAAAGTAATTTAAAGATGAACTAAAAAGCCTCTTGATGAAAGTGAAAAAGTTGGCTTAAAGCTCAACATTCAGAAAACTAAGATCACGGCATCTGGTCCCATCACTTCATGGGAAATAAATGGGGAGACAGTGGAAACAGTGTCAGACTTTATTTTGGGGGGTTCCAAAATCACTGCAGATGGTGATTGTAGCCATGAAATTAAAAGATGCTTACTCCTTGGAAAGAAAGTTATGACCAACCTAGATAGCATATTAAAAAGCAGAGACATTACTTTGCCAACAAAGGTCTGTCTAGTCAAGGCTATGGGTTTTCCAGTAGTCATGTATGGATGTGAGAGTTGGACTGTGAGGAAAGCTGAGTGCCAAAAAATTGATGCTTTTGAACTGTGGTGTTGGAGAAGCCTCTTGAGAGTCCCTTGGACAGCAAGGAGATCCAACCAGTCCATCCTAAAGGAGATCAGTCCTGAGTGTTCATTGGAAGGACTGATACTGAAGCTGACACTCCAATACTTTGGCCACCTCATGTGAAGAGTTGACTCATTGGAAAAGACCCTGATGCTGGGAGGGATTGGGGGCAGGAGGAGAAAGGGACGACAGAGGATGAGATGGCTGGATGGCATCACCGACTCGACATGAGTTTGGGTAGACTCCAGGAGTTGGTGATGGGCAGGGAGGCCTGGTGTGCTGCGATTCATGGGGTCGCAAAGAGTCGGACATGACTGAGCGACTGAACTGAACTGACTGCAGTTAAAGATTTACGATATGTCCAGCATTGTTTTAAATTCCTACAGGGAATATAAATTATGATACTTCTTTTGTATCCCCTTTCCCACATGAATAAATTACTAAGTTTTACATAACATTAGTAATTTACTATGCTACACAATACAAAATACAGCTAAATTCTGAGGAGGAACAATACCATAATGGGTATCTATTGGTATAGAATGGACATGAATAAAGTGATGCAATATTAATATGAAGGGTCACAAAAAACTAAGACAAAGTTTTGGTAAAGTGAGGTTAGACTCTAGAAAAGTCAAAGAGAGGCAAAGGGCAAATATTAACAAATATTTATGTTATTTACATTTGCCAATATTTATTTATATTGGCAAATATTAATAAAATGCCAACTCTCTCTGAAGACCTTCCTCATTGTCCCATTTCTAAACAGAATTGATTCCCTTCTTAGAACTGTGAACAGCACTGTGATCCTCTGTTACAGTCCTTAACCCACTCAGTCACTTCTCCTAGTAACGACTTTCCCCAGCAGACTATAAGCTCCTGAAGGGCAGAGAATGTCACCTGTATCATATGTCACATATTTCTGACCCAGTGCCTAGCACTAACAGACATGATTGTGTGGGAAAGAGAGAGAATCTGTATTCTAAAACATAGCCAAAACACAACTTTTCAGGTGTTTAGGCGTGAGGACTAAATGAAGCAGATACTTAAAGATTAGTTTCTCACTTTACTGTAGTTTTGAGTTCAATGGAAAACTAAAACTGGATATATAAACCCAACTTCATCCCTGGGGCCCTCAAAACTTGACTGAGACTCAAATTCAATTATAACTCCTTATCTAAACATTCAGATAAAACTTTCAAAAGTCTGTTTCCCAGATTTATCAATATCAGTCTTCTGATACATACAACAATCAAAAGTAAAAATTAAACAATCTGCAAAACCAAGAAAAACAAATTCAAACAGTTCCTTTTATGATCTTTAAAAATGGCAGCGGGGGGGAGTAATTAAAGATTTATGTAGAGAAAGATAAGTATACTAACCTTGGGATATATATATATATACACACACACCAGACAACAGAAATACAGGCAATCTAAAGCCAAGTACATTCTATTCGCTTAAAGCAATAAACCCCATAAATTCTGGTGTGAAATCTCTTTCCACATTTAAATTCTATCTATTATTCAAAATACACCGATAACTACTTGATCAGAGAGAAGAGCACTATAAAATAAGTGAACCATACTACCTGATCATCTATTGTAGCATAGTCTTCCAATGAGAAAAACAAATCACAGATGTAATCCATTTGATTCTAAACAACTTTTAGACAATCTTCAAGTGAAGTTAAAACTATACTTGTTCAACAGAAAATCTTTAAGCTAAAAAACACCTAGGGTGACTTAAATCTAAAAGAATCATAGAACAAGATTTTGGTGGTGCTTAATAAACATCAACATGCCCTAGCTGCAAAATAGATGAGTTTAGCTAGAAACAAAGCATTGCGTTTGCAGCCAATAGTAATGATGATTAAGCTGAAGAAAGACATGTTTTTCTTGTCATCTTTATTCAAGTATTTCACAGCAGTTATATTACAAATTACAGTAAATGTTCAAAATTCCAGAATTCAAAAATTAAATAATTTACTTCAAACTAATGTAAAATGAAGTCAAATGTAAAACATCAACTTAACACAATTCTAAATTAAACTACAAACCCAAAAATAGACCATAGTTGAGGAGGTCTACTTACTCTACAAAGTAGACATACATGAATGAAACCAAAGAGGACTCCCAAAGTCTAAATAACCAAATGTACAAAATACAAAAGATGTTGGTACAAGTCCAAATTCAAGCTTACAATGTGATTACAAATAATAATTATAATAACAATGGCATTCAGCTACGGGACCTGACACTGAAGATACCTACTGAATAGCACCATAGCTGAACCAACTTAATCAAAAAATGGGAAGATATTACCACCCCACTCCCTAAAAAATAAAATCCAGTAAACCTACAAATACATTGGCATATGAGAAAAATCAAGTCATGAAAGGATGTACTGAAAGGACAACAAAACAAACAAAAAAAATTAATCACAGGTGAGATTCAAGCTCAAAAACACAATTAACTCCACAGCCATCAGTTTCAACCCTAGTGCGGTTCCATCGTCTTCAAAAGCTCCTATGGTCCCCACAGCTGAGCATTAACTATTGTTGGGCTGGGCTGTGATACATATTTTAGTGATCTGGGAGCAAGGTTTTACACAGGAGCTAATGTATAATGCTCACAATAGGAAATAAGAACAGAGGTCAATTTGTACATATTTTTGCCAATGCTATACAGCAAAAATTAAGAACTTACAGAAAGGTAAACAAAATTAAGTCGCTTGGATAATTTCACAAGCTGCTTTAAATTATAGAACCACCAGATATCTGTAAAATAAGCAAAACTGGTATAGCATGTTTCTTTTGCAGGGGGAAAGGGGCCAGAGGAGTTGGTTCAATTTCAGCTCATTTTTCTCCCCTTGGCATTAGATTGGCTTTCTCTTTAAGACCTAAACTGTTCAGAGTGGCAGATCCTATCATACTGAGGTTGCCTCCTATTTCTCTTATCTCTATCAAGGTTAAAATTAAAAAACTTGATCTTTTGGAAGCATTTTAATGCTGAACATAAATAAATTTCCCTTGTCAAACTCACTGATGGCTAAAACCTTAACTTGTACAAATTTAGTAACTTACTAAGAACATGTGCATTTTTTTTTCCATTCACAAGTGCTGCTGTTACTTGAACAGAATGCTTCTGAATTAGAGTAACTGGAATAAATATTTAAAGAAAAATAGTGCAGCAAGAACCTGAGACTTGCAAAAAACCCTTTTACCAGAAACTTGCTACAAAAAATCTGCTACATCTTATTTCATCAAATCTTTAAATTCTGTAACAATTTCCATCAAAATACAAAATGCTAATGTATTAGACAGTAAAATAGCTTGAACTGGTTTGATGGTAATAAATACTAAAGAAAGCATGAAAATCCTCCCAATAATCAAATTAGAGGTTTCAAATGACCTCCCCTTTAAAATTGGTTCATCGTTAATCGCACTTGCCCACCTTAAAAATACAGTGTGTCTACACGGGTAGCATCTTGAATTATATGACTAACTGAATATCATGAAAAGTTCATAGGTATAAAGAAAACAAGTGGCATTATTTTAAAATTAAACTAGAGTTAGAAAGCATAAAGTGTTCATGTAAATGCAAAGAAGCACTTAAGATTACTGCAGTAGCCTTGGCCAAAGCGTGCTTTCTGCACTGGCATCCAGCACCCTACAAAGCCAGAGACAAGAAGACAAGTACCTTAGCTTCAGCATGTAAACGGTGGTGAAGTGAATACAGAACTCTGTAGACACCGTTGGTAACTAAAATACAAAAAGCTGAGGTAGCTCAGTATCTCTGCAGTAGTCCAAGACCATTTGCTCTAATTAAAACCCAAACTACATGTGTTGCATATATTGGAAAGACACACCTGTGCAGCTAACGGCTATAATGAATGAAGGCATCAAGCCAACTTGTCAAAATTTTCTACTTTTTTGTTTAAAAATCATCTGATAAAAAAAGTCACTGCACTCCTTTTGCCTCTTTGCAACTGCCTAGACTGTGTCTCTGAATTTGTAGAAAGTTTTTGTAAAACTAGTAATCCATAATTAATTTTATATAAGTACAAGTCACAGAAATCACTCAACAAGATCCAAAATGGGTTCTGATCAAAATGAATAGTTAGTTGTGAAGGTAAGCTTATGATGAGGGATTTAAATATTAATACTGTTATTCAAGGACCATACCAGAGCTCACTTGCAACTATGCCTATTGAAAAAGAATTTTATGGAGCTCCCAGACAAAAATTCCTCTTTTCTTTCCATTTGGCAAGCCCTGGCTTTAAACCAAAACAGTAATAATTTGCTATACATGAAAATCATTCTTCTCTGGGAACTCAAACATGAATATCCATTAAATTACCACTGACAGAAGAAAATAGAAGGCAGTTCTATTTTCTGACCATCATTGTCATCAATACCAAAAAGAGTGTGTTTTTTTATTTTTGGATGGATTGTGTATTATTTTTTGTTGTTGCTTCATCACATGTTTCTTAAACAGAAACGAACCATACAGGAAAACTTACCATTTTTAGTATATTTTGTAGCTTAACAACTTTCTTGATTGAGTTTTAAAAGCGAAATAGGCATTTTATACCAAATCACTGGCTGCCTCTTAATGATACAGAGTATCAAAACTTATTTTCAGGGCTGTGACCAAAGAAAACATTCTAATTCATTTGCTACAAACAAGCCCATCCTTGTGTTTAGCCTTATCCTTTCTCAAATGAATAAAAAGGCACATTAAAGGCAGTTCTAAAGAGCCTAATCTAATTTCATCCAGTTTTTTCAGTTTCCCACCAGAATATACCAATTTCAAAACAGGCTTTAGTCCATTACCCAGAGAAAAAAATAAAACAAATATGATAAAAGGGGTAGAAAGGAGAGGGAAAGGAACAGGTTGCCCATTTTTTAAACAATTCAACACAGTAAGAACTGCCCCATCCAGTTTCCTCAAATTTGCTGGTCTGCTCCCTAAGAGAGAAGTCTCCAAAAAAGAGTGCACAAAAAGAGGAGCAGAAGTGAGAGCAGTTTCTGTAGCACCAAAATCTCCAATCTGTGGGGTTGTATTTTTTATTTGTGGAAAATACAACATGTTTCTGAAGTTCTGTTTGGTTCTTGTAGGCTGGTTGGTTTCAGGTACCTGAGACAATAGCACCAAATTCAACAGAGAGAGAATGAGTGAGAGAGCACTTTACGCCAAGGCTCTGCACGTTAATTGGTGCAATTTGAAATTGAATGGCTCAGAAGACTGCTCTGTCAGGAGCAGATTGGAGGGGATAAACCACTCTTCTTGAAAGGTTCATAGGAATGTCTCAAACATATGAACTGTTCTTTCCATCTCCTATAAGGGGGAGGAAAAAAGTACAAGTTACCTATTAAAGGAAATACAAAAGCATTATGGAAAAATTCACTTCAAATCAACTTTCCCAAGAAAGAAATCTAGATACAAAGTTAAGCTTTAAATATATTCCTGATTATAATACTATAGTTACTGTGTAAGACTATCTACCCTAGACATTTCCAAATGCCTCCTATTTTATGTTTAGGCTAATGAGGATGACACTAGCAACAAGGAGTTCTTATTATACCAGATATTTTATTAAGAAATTTGCATATATAAATAATTTGCTAGGGAGTAAATAGCAGAGTCAAGATTTGGATACAGAATCAGGATTTGAATACAGGTAGCCGCACTCCAGAGCCTACATCCTTCACTACTCATTATGCAGTAGGTTGCCATTTCCGTCTCCAGGGGGCCTTTTCCACCCAAGAATGGAACCTGGGTCTCCAGCATTCCAGGCAGATTCTTCACCATCTGAGCCACCAGGGAAGTTCTCATTATATTCAACTCCCAAAGCAAAATGAATGTATTCCATATAGTAAAACTTGTACCCAAAGTAGAATGCACCATGTTCCCAATGCTGTTCACTTCAATTAAGAGTTGAAATTTAGAAGGAAAAAAAAAAAAGCCAGAAAGAGTCAATGCCACCACCACCAGGAATGCCACTCACTAGTGATTCTGCTATAGATTTCCTTCCCTCCTAAATGAGGCCCCAAGATTATACGGTTCCAAGACCCAGACTGAAAAATGTTTCACTGCTGAAGAGTATTCAGTCCATTCATGATAATCAAATATCATCGTGTGAACAAAGAAGCTCTAGAATTTTTAAAAAGTAAGGAACTCTACCCCACACATTACATTCAGATAGGCAAATGCCAAATACATCTAAGACATCTGATTTTCTTTTCCCTCTTTATGAAAAATAAATGTGTGTGTGCTCAGTCATGTCTGACTCTTTGCGATCCCATGGACTATAGCCCATCAGGCTCCTCTGTCCATGGGATTTCCCAGCCAAGAATACCAGAGCGGGTTGCCACTTCCTACTTCAGGGACCTTCCCAACCCAGGGATCAAACCCCCATCTCTTGTGTCTCTGCACTGGCAGGTGGATTCTTTACCACTGCGCCACCCAAAACACCTCCAAAGAAATTATATCCTACATCTCTACAGAACTAATAAGGTATACTAACAGATTATCATCTAATCAAAAGGTTATATAAATGATCGATCAAAATTACTCCTGCTAAATGTTTCATCATATGTTACTGAGTAGGAGAAAAGTCCAGTTATGAAACAGAATATATAATACTATCCCAACTTTTAAATATACATTCATACTTATATACATGTTATGTACATCTAGACATTTTTAAAGGATGGAAGATATTCTAAGAGATTAACAATGATTAGTTTCCTCCAGATGGTGGTATGTGGGTGATGTTTTTATTTTTTCATTTTTGCTTTCCTATTATTTCTAAATCATTATATAAGGTTAGTACAGATTCATAAAAATGTGACAGAAAAACATGATTACAAAATAAGTTTTAAGTGCACTCTTGCTTTGATTCAAGTATAATACAGGCGTTGTTTTTGTTGTTTAGTTGCTGAGTCGTATCTGACTCGTTTTTGACCCCATGGATTGTGTAGCCTGGTGGTAGGCTACACAATCCATGGGATTTTCCAGACAAGAATACTGGAGTGGGTTGCCATTTCCTTCTCCAAGGGATCTTCCTGACCCAGGGACTGAACCTGCATCTCCTGCACTGCAGGCAGATTCTTTACCACTGAGCCACCTGGGAAGCCCAATACAGGCATGCCCTGGAGACACTGCCTTCCAGACAAAAACAAAGGCAGTCATATAAATCTTTTAGTTTCCCAGTGCAAATAAAAGTTGTGCTTACACTACACTGTGTAATGGCATTATATCTAAAACACAATGTACAGACCTTAATTTTTTTTAATATTTTAAAATTTGTGGGGAAAACAATGCTAACCACCATCTGAGCCTTCAGAAAGTCATCATCTTTTTGCAATAACATCAAAGATCACTAATCACAGATCACCATAATACTGAAAATGTTTGAAATACTACAATTATCAAAATGTACCACAGAAACACAAAGTGAGCAAATGCTGTTGGAAAATGGAGGTGATACCACAAATCTTCAACTTGCAAAAACTACAGTATGTGCACAGCACAATAAAGCAAGATATGCCTGTATTCCTTATTACACATGCAAAATAGGCACATCCTCTACACATAAATCTTTAACATACTAAAAATGTTCCTTGAGAACAGAGACTTCTGTCTTATTCATTTTTTGCATTTACATTTGCTCAGATGACCTCAAAAAGCAGAAGAGTGACTTAATGATGTAAATTATTTGAAAAAAGATATAAGCTCATATTTATAAGAAATTTTCTTATGGGCCAGAGTTGTCTAGAAAGGGAATGGCTCACTTCTATGGTATCCAAGCATAAGGACAACCACTCATGTGGCTGTTTCACAGGACTAGATCTGATTAAATGAGATGACTTTTAAGTTCTCTTCCAATCATTACTAGGTGGCCAATAGGTCTCATGGCCCATACCAACTCCTTTTAACCAGTAGTGGCTGCCTAGAGAGTAGTGGTAGCATGGACTGTGAGGCCATGCTCACATTCAACAGGCCCAAGTGATATTCATAATCCATGAAGTCGCTGAGAAGCCAGAAAGGGGAGAACTGCGACATGCTATCCTATGTATCTGCCAACCATGAATTTCTGTGCTTTGATAAACAAAGAATCCCAGATTACTTCTGTTCTGAGACAAAAGGGTACAAAGAGGTTATTTTTATAACTCTTAATGATTCTTCTTAATCTTAAATCTTCAAATCACTCTTCAGTTACTTGGTGAAAAATTTAAAATAAAATAACTTTGTTTTCTCTTTATTTTGTGCCAAGTAAAAACACATATTTATTTATTCTCTAGATGAACTAAACACTTACCTCTATAAGTTGTGATTTGTCATAATCTTTACGGTGACGGTAGATGCACTGACTAAGAAGAGAATATAATCTCTCAAGTTGATCAACTGCCAGATTGTTGCTTTTATCTACCAACAAATCAAGCAATTTCTAAGAAAAATTAAAAGAATAAAATGAAGTTTGATTTCATTGTTCACACTGAAACAGTACTACTCAAATGCAAGGCAACAGATACCACATGCTATGGTGTAAACCTGACACCTTAGTTTAGAAGATTCCAGGGCTTAGTTTATCACCAACAACATTCTCATATTTCTAAACCTCTCAAAACACAAACAACTCTTTTTCATTAGAAGCCCTAGAGTACTCGTATTCCAAGGTTCAAGGAAAAAATTACTAACACTTACTTTATTTCCATTCATTTAAAACTGCCCAGGAAGAGCTAAGCTTACCTTCAACCTCTCATGGTCAACTATAAGAGGCGGCACAGGCTCAGATGGCTCTTCTGGAACCAGTTCCAGGCTTGTTGTTTTTGCCTGTTCTAAAATTAACTTACGATATTTCTTTACTTTAGAAGCACCTACAATTGAAAAAAAAATGCACTGCAGCAAATAAAAGTTAATAAAAATCAGGCTTAAACTATTATAAATTCTTTTACCCACCGCAAATCCTTTTTGGAATAAAGATATTATTCTTCAAGTAATAAATGATTTTTTGAGGTAAGACTAAGAAACCCAAGTTAAAGAGGACTAAACCACAACTATGAAAGCCAAGTCATACCAGAATATCATCTAACAAATGTATCCACTGAAAGGAAGATAAAAGCAATCTTCAGCTCTAAGCAGTAACTTATAAACTATCTTCACTCTCTGTATGATAATCATTTTAAAATGTGGAGCTTTCAGAACTAGAAGAAAAGGAAGCAACATAGAAAAGCAGATGCTAACACAAAGTAAGGCCAACCTGCTTCATATCTGCCTCCCAAAGCAAAACATTTTCCTCAACATTGCCTGAAATTTCTTATTTTTCTCAGTTATACTGCCTGTGTTACACAATATTTTCTCTTAAAAATATAAGCCCATTAAAAATGCAAAAGGTCTAGTGTCTTTTCCTACTGCCTTAGAGTAAATTAATATAATTTAATTACTTTCCTCCCAACATTCTCCTGAGACCAACCACACGGAAAAAAATAGAAATTTGGAGGCAGCTAAGAGGATGAGATGACTGGATGGCATCACCAACTCGATGGACATGGGTTTGAGTAAACTCTGGGAGTTGGTGATGGACAGGGAGGCCTGGCGTGCTGCAACTCATGGGGTCGCAAAGAGTCGGACAAAACTGAGCGGCTGAACTGAACTGAAGCATTATCTGAGAGCGCCAGGCACTCTGAGGAGCAGAAAGGGAAGGCAGACCATCAGCCCTATGCACTCTGAGCGGGAGTGCTCTTAAGAAGAGACGGGCAGGGGTAGGGGGCCACAAGGACAAACTTGGACCATTTCAGAACTTTTTACAGGACCTGGCCCATGTTCTGGGAAACTAAGGAGAATCTTTCTCCTCCCTCCTGCATTAGTCCTCTTATCCCCAAGTCTTTAAACAATTCTTTCTCATCAATGCCTGCTATATAAGTAATAAAAGAACCAAGATGTTGACTTCAAAAACATATACCCTGATGTATCACAGAAATTTTATATTAAAGACAGCCTTTAGACTGAAAACCTATATTTACAGTTCAATTAACATATGCTAGAAGTTTTGTTAAGACCATACAAATCCTCATTATTACACCCATGGACATCTGGGGGTCCAAGAACCTGAGTTAGGAACCACTGCGCTAGGTTACATTGTCCTGGACAGTTACAAATGAAAACTTCAGGTGAAACTTTTACACAGCAAATACTTTTAAAGCTGTTAGCCGAACATAATATTCATTTAAACCTTTTCTGTAAGCTTACTAAAATCTAATAGTGAAGTAGCATTACAAAGACTCTCCCACCCACCCATCTATTCTGCCTCATAACAGGAGTCTCTCCCTTTTCCCCACACTGTCCCATTCATTACTTAATTCTAGCTTCAACACACTTTTTAAGTTCTGTCTATATGATAGCCCAGATAAATAATGCTTCTAAAACTGTTTTCTACTATTATATATTAAAAATTTTCAAGAGGCAGCATTTAAATCTGTACCTTTCTCTTTATCTGTTAAAAGAATTCTAAGACTTTGAACAATACCATCCTACTCTAATTCTTCCAGATGCTCAAACAAGCTGGCATTAAACAACTTTTCTCACAGAGCCCAAATTCCAGGCTAACACCATATACTCCACACAATTTAGAGAGCACAATACAATTTCAAGATAATTGAGTGCAAGACTAGTTACCTGTTTAGGAAGGAAGTGCACACTGAACAGGGTAGGTCTGTCTCTTAATACACCCCACCCCACCATGGGCTAAAGAATCATGATAAATAGCAAAGCAGGGCCAGAAACCCTCAACTCGCCCCTATATCCACTGCTTCTTCAGGAATCACATATTCAAGGGAACTCAGGAGTGGACAGAGAGTTCTGACTCGGCAACACATGTAAATCCATGGCTGATTCATATCAATGTATGGCAAAAACCACTACAATATTGTAAAGTAATTAGCCTCCAACTAATATAAATAAATGAAAAAAAAAAGAATCAAGTCACTTTGACAGTGAGGATTCTGCTGCTTTCTTCCACCACTGGTTTATAAAGCAAGAGTGTCTCTAGATTAACACCCCTCAGATTCAACTGACAATGACTGCCTGGCATGAATATACCTTAGGATGTGCCAGGTACCAGGAGAGGCAATTAACATATAAGACTTATTTAATCCCTGCAGTGACACCACCCTAAAGTTTAATTCAGAAGATGGAAAGACGCAGGGCCAGAGAATACAAGCAACTAGCTCAGAGTCACATGATTATAATAAACAACAGTGGAAATATGTGGGTTTCTATGACTCTGATATACCATACTGCCATAGCATCCAAGTCTTCTCACCTACCTCTCACCCCATCCCAACAATCCTTCTGTCAGAAATCCCATCCTCTTAACAACTGTGGATTTACTCAACTTTTAGTCATAAATCCATTAGGAAAGGGATGATAATCAGACAGGAGCACGAAGAGGAAGCAGCCAGGAAAGCAATGCCTTCTGGACGATAAACCCTCTAAAACATACACCAAAATTTATTATGTGTATGTACACTTTTCTAGGAAAAGGGGTGAAAACTGCAACAGATTTTGCAGTTTTCTCAAAGGGGTATAATTATTCATCAACTATTGCTACTGGGGACCAGATAAAATATGCATGTAATTAACTTTGCAGTTTAAAACCTCAGGAAAAATTTTAAAACATTAGCTCTACCTTCTTTATCCAGTTCTGCATCTTTAACCTCCACATCAGGGCCAGGCTCTAACTTCTCATTAGTGCTACATTCCAGTGCCTCTAGTTTCTCAGGATCATCTCCATGATTTTCATTTGAAGTTTCTGGTTTTTCTTTTGACTGGTCCTCCAGGAGAATCTTTTGTTCAGAACTACATTTATATCCACTGCCACAGCAAGAAACTACTTCAGCTTTGCCATTCTGACAGTCCAGAACTGGTATTCCTTCAAAACTATCTGTGGAGGCCTCACCATTTAGACAGCCTCCTTTAAGGAAAGGCTCTTTCCGAGACATCTGTTCTGGATTTAGAGAACTGCTGCTGTTGATGAGTAGAGACTCATTTGAACTTTCCTCTTCGGTAGATGCAAAGTTCTCTTTTGTGCTTGCTCCATTGTTAAGCCTCTGCCCCTGGTCCATGTCCATGATGTCACAGGATGATTCATCATTGGTCATAGATAAGTCTCCAGTCTCTTCTCCATTTTCTTCATGGCAGTCAGTGCTTACCTCAAACTCTCCATTTTCCAGTAATTTCCTGTCCTCCATATGATTCTCATAGTCAGTAAATTTGGTGTCCTCTTCATCTTTTTTTAAATTATTGACTTTCCTTTTCTTAATAATTCCTTTACCCCACTGTGATCGCCGCCGTGATTTTCTCCGAACTCGAACTATTTTACAAAGAAGGGGAAAAGATATATAGAACTTGGAGGTGCAATGCTTGTTTCACAAATGTTTATTAAATAAGATCCAAAAGAAAGTAAACCCATACTACCATAACACAGAGACAAAAACTACTTAGCTCTTGGCACCCATGCTGACTAATCTTCACACCTACAAAATGGATATGATGTCAGGGATGAGCTCTGACAAATGAAAACCTTTTAAATTTATTTCCTATATGAGTTGACTAAGCACTCACTCTTTACAACTGCCCTACTTTATTGCTACTTTATTGCTTTTCCTAATTCCTAGAACCCGAGGGCCAAGCACACTACACATTTAGGGAATGGTCACATTACCAGGCTGCCTGGAAGGTTTGGGGCTACAGCCCTGGATTTCCACCAGGAAAATGAGTGCTTTGCCAGCAAGACCCCCCAAAGCTCTTAAACCATAAAAGAAATTAAAATATGATCGAATAGTGAAGAGACAAAAGTTACAGGTATCTCTACTGCCTCTCCTTTCATAAGAAATAGAAGCCCTATGAAGTTTATACAGACAATGTGGTTAGCCACCTGTGAGCCTTCTATCACAAATGTTTCTCCTAGCAGGATCAATTTCTTGCAAAGGTGTTATTGGAAAATATGCAGAAAACAAGTCTTCTGCTATCAAGGCAACCAACAATAACATTAACAAACACTGAAAATAAATATTTGGTCAGTTATATAAAGTAAGAGACCTACAAAAGTTGCAGGGACTATACTCTTTGGTGTGAGAAACTATCAAGAGTTTTATCAGTAGATAGTTGGTACTTCCAGGTCATGATGGACACAGGAATATTTATTTCCCATATTATGTATCAAAGGTAGCTGGTTGTGCAAGTCGATCTCATTGTCCCTAAAATGAAAAGTTAACTTTTATTTTGCAATATGGGACACTTGCATGAAGAAATTTAAATATAAAAGTTATTAAAGCAAACTAGTTAAGCTAGAGACCTATTACTTCTGATGTCTACCACTGGATTCTGAATATTAGTTGAGAGCCATCAGAGCAAAAGTAATTCATTTTTTCAAGGCTATAAAAGTAATGTCAAATCTGGCTTAGTTTAAAAAGAGATAATATATATTTTTAATATGTCAATGTTGAAAGCTTTCTGGGCAAAGACATTTTAAAAAGAAAATGCAAATATGGGCCACTAAGTGGAGAATGTTTAATCCACAGTTTAAAATTGCTGTTGAAAGACAAACAGAAGGGAATACGGTCTTAAAACAACCCTCATTTCTTTACGTCAGCACTTAATATGAACTTGTGATCTTATCCATTAAAAGAATTCTAAAACATTATCATGTATGTGTACACTTTTCTAGGGAAAAAAATGGATAAAGATCTTTTTTTTTAATAAAGATCTTTTAATGGATAAAGATCATAATGTATCAACAGCACACAGTGTGTTTGCATACTTTATCACCCTTTCATCTTTAATCCTTACTAAGTCTCTATAAAGATACCAAGGTAAGATATATGACAAATTGTCATAAATGTTACTCTTCTTTCTGATCTAAGAATAAATCTACCAAAGGTTTCTAAAATCATTTCCAAAACTCAACTTATTTAGTGACTTGGCTCAAAATTTATTTTGCCCTGAAAACTGTACTACCATTATAATCATCTCCCCATTCCTTTTCCCCCCATTTCTATTTTTATAATTTACAGTTACAGGGTAATTGGAGATGAAATTTCTATATTAGTTTACTTTTAAAAGCACAAGCTAAAGTGATGAGCATTCATAAGCATTTCATTACTTACATGAAAGATTAATCCAGTCCATATTAAAAGTGAAAGAAAAGTATTCAGCTTGCTCTTTCTTTAAAATGTAGAACTGTTAGGTTTTTCTACCTGACCAGTCACTCCTGACATTGTGTCCTTGCTTATTCTCCAACAACCAAAGTGACAAGAGGTTCCCTTTTCCTTTCCTCACTAAGTCATGAAGCACTAAAGCCAAGAGGCTTGTCCCTGCTCAATCGAGAGCCAGCTCAATTATTTGATATGTACTCGTACCCTAAGCAAAAGCTAGGAACCTTTCTGAAGCAAGGTTACTTCTAATGCTTTCACCCCAGATAAGAAAGAGAAAATGTTCTTATTTGCGGGGAGGTCAAACTGGAGATATTTTCCCCGTCTTTTTATAATCACTTCTAACGCTTAGTGAGATTTTGGTCAAATAAGAGAAATTGGTTATATACGTGCCACAAGAACCAAGATTTTTGTTTCAGTCACTGCTCTATCTACCACCTTTTTCAGGGGTACTTTGTGTGAAAAGTCCATTTAGAGGCACGGTCTTTAAAATCAAGTTTTACAGCATCTCTGAGCTTGTTCCCAAAACCTTAGGTTCTTAGGAAAGCAACTCTTCCATAGGGAGATTTAGACATACTGATTTAAGTAACTTAATGTAAAATAGTCAAATGGTGAGTCACATATGCCATCTACTGGTCAGAGAAAACAAAACCCACATTTGTAGATTAAAAAACATTTTAACACTTACAGAAAATTAAAACTGCTGAAGCAATATTCAATATATTTTAGTGGGTAAATATTTTTATCAGTTGCAGAGAATGTAAGTATTTCAACATTTAAATTAGAGTCTTCTGTTAGATAATCCAGGTCACGATTCAAGGTACAACCAGGAAAAATAGCTTAATCAGCTTCCTGGGATGAAATGCACCATTAACTCCTTCAAATTTTCTCACACATGAATGCCATTTATCACAAAGAGGACAAGATTTAAAAAAAAAAAACCTGAGTCTGGTTCATTCATTCAACTTCAATGCCACTGGTGGAAGAACTTATCATGGCCATCTTTACTGATGGCTGGAGCAGAATTACCACCTTTATATCAGAAGAACAGCATACACAACCCAAAGATGGCCATCTTTAGTGAAACATAAAAATTACATTAGGAAGATTCTGTGTTTATTAACATTTGTCTTTTAGAAATTTTTACAGATCACCATGAATAAGGAGAAGTGAGGAAAATATAGAACACTGAATTTTCCCCTTCTAAATACACCTCACTTACAAAACAAACAAAAGAAAACAAACAAAAAGAACAAAGCAAACAAAAGAAAAATAAATAAATACATCTCACTTAAACAAAACCAGAAAAAGAAGGCTGAATAGATTTTTCTCAGAAAAATCAACTTCCCACTGTCAATTCAAGCACTCTCTTAAGCCAGAGTTTCATTTCCCACCATAATGAGAGCACCCTGCATAATATACAGCAAGGGGTTGAAGGTGGGGTGAATAAAAATCTATTGGCTCCATATCTCTTTCTAAAACCCAAAGTTTAAAGCTGAAAATATTTAAATCTAGTTCAACTACAACAGCAAGCACTGAGCAGAGATAGAAAAAAAAGCAAATAAGGTTAAAGAAATATACTGATTCAGCATCTTACCCCACAAGCTCCTGGAAGCCCTTTGGTGTATGTGCCCAATTCCTAACACTTCTGCCTCATTCACAGTTGTTCCCACTGCTGGATAACAAGATCTCAAATACTCACATGCACATTTATTTGCAGAACTGTGCCAGACATCCATTGGATTTCTTTGTTTGTGCCGAAATGCCTCTTCAACTCTAGTTTCTGTCTTTCGAGCTCCAGTACCATGAGGATTTATTTGTTCTACTGTTACTGATAAGCCTGCAAGCAGAAGATAAGCGATACCTATTTAAATATTCCCAGCTACATAAACCAACAAGGTTAAAAAAAAAGTCTGAAATACTGAGTTTTAAAGTCATTAATTATACTTGGACAGTTTGTAATTTGGATGAAAATAGTACCTTTTGTTTTAAGATGGGAAAGAAACTAGATATCATATCATAAAAATAAAACAGTAGGCCATGCTTATTTATACTTTATCTCCAAAGGGCCCCATGTTAACTCAGTTTATTTTGCAAAGGGATACACTTCACATTTTTTTGACTGTAAGACAGTAAGATTATATATTGCCAAAAAGTCATGATTTCTGCCATCTTAGAAAGTATAAGCACATACCGGGCTACTAAACCCCATTCATATAAACCATTTCCATCTGATATAAGCTGGCTGTTACACCACACTGTGTAAGTTTGGTTTTCCTGCATTGATCTTCATAAATAACTGTTCCATCTCAATTTTCTTTACTAGATCTCTTTCTTCTATGCTGTCTTTAGTGTTGCCATCCAAGTTTCTAAGGACTATCTCTGGAATCCCTTTTCTTCTCACTTTAATCTACATCTTCCACCACAAGTATCATTCATGCCTTCAGCTTCTACTGGCATTATATAATTATTCCCAAATCACACTTTAATCCAAAAGTCTCTTGAGCTCCTGATTTATATTAGCTGCCTACTTGATATCACCTACTGCATATCCTAAAGATAGATCAAGTTAAAAATAACTGGTTTCTCTTTTTCCCACAAAAAGACCTGTCCTTATATATTCCCTCTCTCTACTGGTAGTATTTGCATCTCTTTAAATCATTAAATCAGTAATGTGGCAGCTAATCTTGCCTCTTTCTTTCCTTCCCAATACCTTCCACCCCTGCAGCCACAACTCTTTCATGTTAATCCTACCTTCATTCCCACTTCAGTAATTAAAACTCTGGACTACTCCAACAGCCCGCACCCTCCAACAGTACAATTAACACAACATAAAAATCACTCATTTCAAGTGTACAATTGAGTGATTTTTAGTGGATTTACAGAGCTGTGCAATCACACAGCAATCCAATTTAAGTAACAGTTCCAGGCAATCACTAATCCACTTTTTGTCTCTATAATAGACTGGCTTTTGTGAGCATTTTATATGAATGGAATCATACAATACATGGTGTTTGGTGACTGTTTTCTCTCACTTAGCGTAACATTTCTAAAGTTCATCCATGTTGCACCTTGTTCTTTTTTATAGTTGAGCAGTATGTTGTTGTACAATACATCCTGTCTTGCTTACCCATTCATCAGTTGACAGACATTTGGGTTGCTTCTAGTTTTTAGTTGCTGTGAATAATACTGCTATGAACATTCATGTACAAGTCTGTATATGGACATATGTTTTCATTTCTCTTGGGAAGATCCCTAGGAGTAGAATCGCTGGGTCATATGGTAAACATGATGCTTAACTTTTTTAGAAACGGCCAAAATGTTTGCAAAACTGGCTCCAACAGCTTTTTAACTAGGCTCTCATCCTCCCACCCTGCCACAGTGAGACCTTGCTATTTCCTGCTGCCAAAACAATTATACCAATCCATTCCACTGCTTCAGATACTTCAATGACTCCTACTGCCTACAACAATTGTTCTCAAACTTCAGTATACATAAAAACCACTGTTAAAGCACAGATTTCTCAGCCTTACTACTCTCAGAGAACCTAGTTTCCCAGTTCTAAGCTGATGTGGATAATTAACACACATTTTAAAAAACACAGACCTACAGAATAAAGTCCAAGTCCATGACATTGATTCACTCAATTACTTGCACTTATATTCTAAATAAGGAGGAGAGAGACAACAACAACAACAAAATGACAAAAGCTATGGTGACCAGAGCCATATCAGATTAAGTGGCCAGGGTAGGCCTCTCTAATGCAGTAGAAGAAAAGCATATTCACAAGTCCAATGTCCTCAACCCAGCTCACCTTCTGAGCTCTATTTCTCACTCTTCTGTACATCTTTAGCAATGCCAGTTCACAGTTCTTCAGATATGCCACGTTATTTCACGTCTGTGCGATTTTATGCACTGTGCGTTCTGCTTACAATACTTCCTCCTTCTCTGTCACTGCCTCCCCGCTTCCCTCTACGGCACTACAGACAACACTTGTACATTCATTCCCCAAACTCTGATCAAAATGCCAGGTTTCCTACCAGGAGGTCTATCCTCTATGATGAATATGCTTCAGTTAGTGCATATGCCACACTGCACTTGATTTGTTTTACACTTACTCTCTCCTACTAAAGTATGAGTTCCCCAAGGACAGGATTATATACTGAACAAACAAAACACATGTGCTATGTGTTTATATTAACAAAATTGCACATAAAACTCCAATAGGTTAAAAAAAAAGTATTCCTAAATTTTTAAGAATTAGTATTAGATATTACCTGTTGAAAATAAAACTCTTCAAATATGAAAATCTATCTAAATCCTTTAAGAAGAGAAATCCATAATTAACAAAGATGTGTTCCTACAAAAGAAATTTCACTAAGTACTGCTTTATTTCTATAATTGGCACTAAAATTGCCATAGAAAGTAAATTTTTAAAACATCTTTGATTAGCCTCCAACTAATAAAAATAAATGAAAAAAAAAAATAAAAGCACTAGTTCAAAATAAATAAATAAATAAATAATAAAACATCTTTGAGAATTTACATGACACATATTCGTATCAGAAATTAAGTAAAGGTTGGGCCTCAAGATACACTTTCATTATACCAGCAACTATAAATAAACACCACCCAGTGACACTCAGTGACCTCTTAGTCTTCAACAGCATGTTCACTTCTATAACTTACCTCTTTTTATTCTTGCTTCCTTAATTTCTTCACAGAGTTTATTAAATTCTGGATCCAACTCAGCTGCAATGATGGCATGTGCAGTATCCTTCAGAGTACAAGCCCTGTGCCTAATTATTTTGTCTGTTAAAAAGTTGGTATACATTTATTATACACACAAATGAAATAACATGAAAAAAGGGCATCTTAAGAAGAAAAGTAAAAGAACATAAACATTTAAATAAAACTGTAAAAAGCATTTCTAGATAAGAAGCAAATTCACTTTAAGTGATGAGTGAAAAATAAATATGGGCTTCCCTGGTAGCTCAGTGGTAAAGAATTCACCTGCCAATGCAGGAGAGATGGGTTTGATCCCGGGGTCGGGAAGATCCCCGGCAGAAGGAAATGCAACCCACTCTAGTATTCTTGCCTGGGAAGTCCTGTGGACAGAGGAGCCTGGAGGGCTATAGTCCACAGGGTCACAGGAGAGTCAGACATGACTTAGGGACTAAACAACAACAACAAAAAATATAATAAACTACTCAATTAAGTTGACAATCCTGAGAACTATACTTTTAGAACTTCAAAGTACTAAGCCTACTTAACAAGTACCTCAAAGATATGGCTTTATTTGATAATTTTGAAAAGAATATTACCTTAAATAAAAATTCTTTAAAGATATAAAGAATATTCATCATACATCCAGCACCAGAGTTGCCATGCATAGACACTGAGGTTTCAGAAAACTATACATAATTTTCTCCATAAGAGAAAACTGGTCAAAATTATGTTAAAGAATATAATATATGCTAAAGCAAGGTGACCTATTAAAAAATTGTGATAGAAACAAATATGATAAGGCACTCTAAGAATGTAAGATGATATAAACTGTAGGTAGTTCTAGGAGAAAAGTGCATGCTTTGTTCTAGGTACACTACACCTAAAACTGGTAATAAAAGAAGAGTCTCTCTGCTTTACACTAAGTCCTCATTCATTAACAAGATGACATAACTGTGCTCCCTAGATCTGGCAACTTCAAGATGTTACAAATCACATAAATGCATTAATGTCACTTAATTTGTAACAGTATTTAGAACTAGAATCCAAGTCACAAAATAATATCTGCTTTTTCATCTCTAGCAAAGACAAAAAGTATAAAAATGCATCTTACATATAACTTTTCTTATTAGAATATCTAATAGTTCATTATGAAAAATCTTACAAAGACAAACATGCAGCACTCAAAAAGGCAGCCCACTAGTATATTTCCTTCAATATATTTTCTCTCAACTGTCACTCAATAAATATTGATTGTCAACTGCACCAGGAACTGAGTCAGGTGATGGCTACACAGTAGTAAACAAAACAGGTCTCCACTTTCAAGGAGCTTTTCAGACTAGTATAGGAAAGAGGTATTTAACCAAATAATCTCATATGCACATAGAAACACCTCCACCCACCCTTCCCTCACCCTTCAAAAAACCTGTAACAGCTATGATCAAAATCTCCAGAATATTGAATGGGCAAGTCAGGAGAGAATTCTCTAAATTAGGGGCACTTAAGGTGAGACTCAAAGCATGCATTAGGATAGCCACTGACGAAGGGAAAAACCAGTACAGGTTCAGAAAATACCATGTGAAAAAGTTCTGAAGTAAAAAGATCTTGGAGATTTCTAGAAACTGAAAGGTAGCCTATGTGATTAGCACACAAAAAGCAAGTGGCAAAGAGGAATCTGACCATATTGAAAGGATTTTAGATCTTATCCTAAGAGCAAAGAAAAGACCCATGCAGGGAAACAACATGATTTAATTCTCTAGATGATAAGGGACCATTGGGTGGTTTTCAGACAGAAAGTGATTTGATTTGTATTTAAGAGTATAGTAATACAGGCGGTACCAGAGGTCAAGGGAATGATAAAATGGAGATTGTAAGACCAATTAAGACTCGCAGGGAATTCTCTGGCAGTCCAGTAGTTAGGACTTGGTGCTTTTCACTACTAGGATCCAGGACCTAAGCTTAATCCCTGGCTGGGGAACTAAGATCCCACAGCTGCATGGCGTGACCAAAAAACATTTTTTTTTTTTTTTAGGCTAAGAAAAGTAGTCTACAAAGGTATAGGAAAAGAGGATATGGCTGAAAAAATAGAGTGTGGGGGAATGGTGGGAAATTCATTCACTTGTCTACTCACTGAATCTCCATTTATTGAGCAACCATTTATAAAACATTTTCTATATGTAAACTGTGTCAGTGCTGGAGATATGCAGCCCTGGCCTGAGAGATGCCTAAAATGAATGCCCCTTTAAATCCTGTTCATCTCCAGATAATGTCTTCTCTGTGCCCTGCTCACACTGTACATGTACCGAATACACACCTGATGAAACTGCATTATCATCAGCTGCTGCTGCCACAAGACAAAATTCAAAACTGCCACCTCTGTGCTACCCGTATACCTTAACCATCTAGTATAATCACAAATAATCAGGTATTTGTCATTCTTATAAAACAGTGAGTTTCTAGATAAGAGAGACTGTGGTGTTATTTATAAATTGTTATGGGTTAAACTGTGTTCCTCCCAAAAATTTACATGTTGATACTGTACTCCCCAATATACCAGAGTGTGACTACATTTGGAGTAGAGCCTTCAAAGAGGTAATCAAAGTAAAAGGTCCTATGAGTAGGCCCTACTCTAATCAGACTTGTGTCCTTAGGAGGAGAGGAAATTTGGAGACACACAAGTAATACCAGGGGTGCATAGACACAGAGAAAAGATGACCATGTGAGGACACAGCAAGAAGGTTGCCATCTGAAGGCAAAGGAAAGAGGCTTCAGAAGAAACCAAATCTGCCGACACCTTGAGTTTGGACTTTTAGCCCCCAAAACTATGAGAAAATCAATTTCTGCTGTCTAAGTCATGCAGTCTGTGGCATTGTGTTAAGGAAGTGCTAACAAATTAATATCATAAGATATAACATAATGTCTGTCACACAGTAATTATTCAATATATATTACTACATCTTAAGAGGCAAAGACTATCACAGTATGCTAAACACTCAGCTCAGTAACAGCACATGGTACTTACAAATAATAACAGAAAATGTGAATGAGTTTAACTGAAGTATAACCCATAGAGGGCTCCAAACACTGGAGTGAATCAGTTATCCCTAAGCATCTAGTACAAAACAGAAGATTTTGAGAATACTACAAGACTGAGGTTGAAATTTCAGCAAAATCTGCTAAATGATGGTATGTATGTGAATATACTTAAGTGCTAGAGGAGGCATTAAGTACAGAACAAACAGTGAGGAATAGTTAAACATAAAACAAATCACATATTTATGAGATAATAATTTGGGTCAAATATCTGACCTGGTCACATTTAGAACCTACAAGTTAAAATTCTTCTAGTTAACATATTTAATTTTTGCCCACGTTATCCTCAAGGGAGAATCTGGGTAAACACTTAGGCAATACATATAGCTTCCAAAATGTTGGCTTTTGTCTTCTACGTATATGCTAGCTTTTTCCCAAAACGGCCAAGTGTACTATAAAACAGAGCACTGTAAGCTTTCAAATACTCATGGGAGCTTGTAAAAGTAATACAAAATTCATGTAATTTCCACTTGCTACACAGTAGACCCTGAGGTGGTTTTTCTAATACATAACAAGTTGTTCTGTTGCTAAGAAAGAAAACAGGGCTCTTGACTAAAGATACGAAAAAATCAGAACAGAGCCAAAATCATGCTTTTGAATTATATGATACTTTTTGCTTCTAAAACAGTAAAGGAATAAAGTTACAAGTGTATCATGTCAACTCTGTGAGACAGAGCCATATCCTTTGATTATACAACTATATTCTATAATAAAAGGTTATTATGCACCAAAAATCAATGCTTCTTTCATGAAAGTAATATTATTTTGATGTGATTATAATTAAGTTACACAGAAGAGGGGGAAAGGATCTGGACTGATCCTTTCTACTGACTTTTTCTAACCATTCAAATTCATTTATCACTAGCAGTCCTTAGAGTTGTCCCAAAATAGGATTCAATTTTAAATGTGGTCCAGGGAATACAGTAAAGGGTCATTCTAAAGTAAATGTATAGGTATACACTAAGGAAACAATTATGACAGATTAAGGCACAATTTAAATAATAATGATAATAAGGACAAATATATGAACTACTAACCTTTATGGAACACTTATCACATCCCAGGGACTGTGCTAAGGACCAACGTATTCAAGTTGAACCATATGAAAATGACAATTTCATAAGGTAGGGCCTAATATATTTTCTCATCTAATCCTTACAACTACCCCAAGAGAAGAGTAATTATCCCTATTTGCAGATAAGGAAACTAAAATTTAGAGGAGTTAACTTTATTTCCTAAAGAACTAGGAAATAAAATGGGGACTGAAGCCTAGGTGCACATCCAAAGCCCAGGGTCTCATTACCTACTGCACAATGCCAGTAACCTCTATGTCTTGAAAACCTAACAGGATGAGAGTGTAGGTGCTCAAGTACTCTCACACACTGCTTAAGGCCACTATATAGACACTTATGCAGTTGTACCATCACCCAGAACCCAACAAGGGAATCAAAGGAAACTGACATTCAGCCCATTCTTCACTAGCCAAACTGTGGCCCTGTTACAGATGCCATCTACACTGCAAAGGAGATTCTCTCAGTCCCACAAAACCGCTATATTGGTTAACAAGTGCCCCTGATGCTGCCAGAAGATTATTTCTTAAATTGTGAGAAAGTTTTAACACAGATTTAAAGCCTTAAAAGAGATTATACACTTTGATACAGAAGTTTCACCTTAAGGAATTTATCTTAAGGAAATAATGAAGGACATACGCAAAATTTATCCTATATTCATCAATGTTACAATAGAGAAAAAAGCTAAAAACTCTAACATGCCCAACAATAGGGTATTAGCTATAATACATTCATATGATAAAAATTACATGGTAGAAATAAATTAACTCAAACTTTTCACAAAATATTACATGAATGAAAATTTACAAAAGTTATATTTTCATTTTAGTAAAAATATTATGCATGTATGCATTTCATATATAGTATTTGTGCATATGTGTGAGAGAGAGAAAAGGAGGGAGGGAGGCAGGGGGAGAAAGAGAATGAACAAATACTAGGTAACATGATTATAGGTTATAAGTTACTTTTTATTCATTTTTATCCTAATAAATATTTATCCTCATAAATGATATGTAATAAAAAGTCAAAATAAAACCTAAGCAAACAACAAAAACTACAAGAAATAAATGTCCTAAAACAAAGCTTAAAAACTATTAAAAGTAGTAAAAGATACCAAAAGCAGCTATATAAAATTTTATTCTGCCACTTAACTTAGAACTAAAATATGTGATTTACTGTGGTCTAATTTAGACAAGAAATAATCAATTTGTGTAGAAATGAGAAATCCAGGCCATTCTAACAAGTGAACTAAGAACCACTGCCCATAAATATAGACATAAAGTAGAAACTGTACTCTATATATCTTTACACAACTGAAAGTTTAAATAAATTTTTTAAAATAAAAAGCATCTTACTTTTATATCACCTGTTGAAGAAACAGAATTCTTAACAGAGTGAGAAAAAGAATGACCTCTACCAGATGGGAACTGGCCTTGGTGTACTCACATTAAACATAAACAACTTTACTGAATACCACTCTGTGACCATGATGGATCAAGACAAAAATAAGACCACTTCATAATCAGATCTGAACACGAACAAAAGTATGAACACTGCCTTACAGAAATAACCAAATATAATCTTATCCTGTGTGAGATGAATGCTGCTTCTTTACCAATCACAACTTTAGTCTGGTTCCAATCTTCTTACTTTCCAGGTTCTTAAAATACCTAGTCCCCAAATTACACCCACCTCCTGAAAGCATCTATTCCACTGCGAAGCTCTACTTCCTTAAATTTTCCTCAAACTCACTTAACACAAGCTGAAATCCTGTATGGTTCCCCATGATGTACATTCTCCTTTATTACAATGTATCAATAAATTCAACTTGTTTAACTACAGATTATTCCTGGAGGTCTCCCCTGGAAGGCATTAACAGAACTGAGACTACAGATTTGAGTACAGGGTGGGATTAGGAGTAAAATAATAAAGTATATTAGGTTGGCCAAAAAGTTCATTTAGGTTTTCCATAAGATGTTATGAAAACATTCACAAGATGTTTATTTACATATGTGAACACATGTACAGTCTATAGAACAGATAATGTCCATCTACCCAAAGGGGTCTTTTGATAAGTAAACTTAACTATATTAAGTTTCCAGAAATCCAAAATGCCCAGTGTTTAGCAGCACTGATAATGGTGACTAAACAAATCAATCTTAAATTCTCAATTATTCAGTTTTCCATCTTACCTGAAAAAAATTAGAATCTAAGTATAAAAAGTGAAAAGCAACTCGAGAAACTAAATCTTGAACATAATAAAATCCTTGAATTTAAATATATTATCTAATAATTTAATAAATGAATTAGCAAATATAAACTATCATATACAGGGTGGATAAAAAATAAGGTCCTACTGTACAACACAGGGAACTATACTCAATATCCTGTGGTAAACCATAATGAAAAATAATATGAAGAAGAATATATGCATATACAACTGAGTCATTTTGCTGTACAACAGAAATTAAACACAACACTGTAAATCAACTATACTTTGATAAAAATTATTTTAAAGAATAATAAAATCCTCTAATTTAAATATATTTTTAGTAGTTTAACAAACGGATTTAATAATTAAATTTAATATTTAAGCATATACTTAGTTCTTCAACAAGAAATTTCTAATATGTCATTAAGACCAACTTTTCTATCTGAAATATGGGAAGGTTTTATTTATATTTTAAACTATCTTCTCTTTGATCACCAAAATCATCCTTGCCCAGTGCATTCTTACCTCCTGGATCCTTATCTGGATTGTACTCCAAAGCATTGCTACAGATGAGGTCAATATCTTTTAGGAAATCCTTAGCAGTCAGGTAATTATGCTTATCAATTTTAGTTATTACTGTTGATAAGTCCATTGGTTCCTTGATTACTTCAAGATAATCTGAAACCTAAAACAAACATGGTATTTTAATGAAAATTATTTCTGGTATTTCATATAATCTACTCATAAAAACACAAAACAAAAATCAAAGTTATTTTAAAACTAAATCTAGATATCTAGGAAATAATTACATATAAGGATAAAATTATAGAGCAATTTATGCCACTAAAGATACTATGTCATACTTTCCATGAAAAGCTTCAGTTTCAAGTCATATTTAATGAACTCTGAAGAGTTTCTCATCTCGAAATATGAAACCAACTGTATCAGCTTTTTTTTTTAATCCTTTGGATATACCTGAGAAGAAAATGTATGGGTAAAAGTACCCAATAAGCATCAATAAATGTTACCTAAGCAAAAAAATTTTAAAGGAAAATAAAAAGAAACATTTTTTTTTTCATATATTTAGAGAAGTTCTTAGGTAGATCTCTTTAAAATCTTTAAACAAAAACATTTTTTCTTTTTCAGTTTTCCAAGGTGAATCATTTCATGGAAAGAGTTTTCTACTCCTTTGGAGTCATTACAAACATTTTAAGTCAATTATATAACAAAAGTAGGTATTGCTTCCATGACTAATAGAAGATTTGCTGGCCTTGTCCCTAAGTATAAGCAAATTTACAAGCAAAAAATAAATTTTGCTCTGTGTGATTTTTCTAGGAGATAACCCAAAATAGAGATATTAGTCATGACTGCCCACTAAATTTTATGTTTTATATCACTTGACCAATTAAAAAGCTCTTCCACCTATATATCTACAGGCATACCTTGTTTTATCGCACTTCCTTTTATTGCGCTTTGCAGATACTCCATTTTTTTAAAACTGAAGGTTTGTGGCAACCCTGCATTGTCAGATGATGGTTAGCATTTTTTAGCAATGAAGCATTTTTTTTGAAGCACTTTTTAATTAAGGTATGTGCATTGATTTTTTTTTTTTTTGGTAGACATAAAGCCATTACTAGGGCTTCCCTGATAGCTCAGTTGATAAAGAATCCGCCTGCAAGACAAGAGACCCTGGTTCGATTCCTGGGTCGGATAAGCTGGAGAAGGGATAGGCTGGAGAAGAGACAGGCTGCCCACTCCAGTATTCTGGGGCTTCCCTTGTGGCTTAGCTGGTAAGGAATCTGCCTGCAATGTGGGAGACCTGGGTTGGATCCCTGGGTTGGGAAGATGCCCTAGAGAAGGGAAAGGCTACCCACTCCAGTATTCTGGTCTGGAGAATTCCACGGAACCACAAAGAGTCAGGCACAACTGAGCAACTTCACTTCAAGATCCCCTGGAGAAGGGAAAGGGTACCCACTCTAGTATTCTGGCCTGGAGAATTCCATGGAATCACCAAGAGTTGGACACGACTGAGTGACTTTCACGTCACTTCACTTTAATGCCACTACATAGTGTAAACATAACTTTTATATATGCTGGGAAACCAAAGAATTCATATAACTTCACTTTATTGCAATATGCACTTTACTGCCATGGTCTAGAACTGAACCTACAACATCTCCAGGTGTGTGTGCCTGGACTGTCTTCCCCAACGCAAATCTCAAATCAAGTAATTAATTCTGACATAAACACAGTCTTAGAAATGTTTAATCAGTCCAGGACCAAATTCTGGGAATATGCTAATTTATGCTCTATGAAATTAAAGGCTAGTTTTCTTCACTGTAGATAGCACAGATACCTTTTAAATTTTCATATATAATATGTATTTCCATGTATAAATACACCTATACGCCTATAGAATAACATAAGCATATATATACACATATTACTTATGTTTTTAAAATTTTAGGTAGGTATGTGTGCATGTTTTAATTTATTTTTCATACTCTAGGAGCTAAAAAGCCAGTCAATCTCCTTACAGGGGAGTAGTGGAGGTTTACCCAATAAGCAATAGTTCAGAAGGTATTAGCTGGATTCTTGGCTCTGACACTTGATATATATTGTGTACATGTGGAAAACATTTTATAAACCTTTGCACTATAAAAATTTATATTACTAAAGACCATAACATTTCAGCACCTATGCTTAACTTTAAATTCACTGCTTATTTTCTAAACATTTTTTTTTCTCTTCAATTTGCTTTGGAACTCAATGTTTTTAGACATTTCAAATTCATATAAATTTTTATGTTTTAGGTTATCTAAATGTTATTATTTTAGTTTCCCCTCTCTATCCTTCCCAGAGACTCCTATGTTTTCAGCCTTAAAAGCAAACAAAGAAGTAAGGAAACTGAGGAGGAAAAGAAAAAAAAGAGGAAAAAGAGAAAACATAACTCTAAAATGACAGCTTTAACTGACTAACATTTTCTATCCCCTTCTACTGCCTTAACACCATTTATATAACTTTTATTCTATCACAAATGGCATCTGAAATCTGACAATCTGGTCTGGTTGGACAGAAAATGTTTTCCTGGGCAAAGACCAAGCTGGTTCATTCTCAGCCTGGGAGACTGATTTGGGGGCAAGTCCTTACCAATTAAGTGTCAGCGTTCCCAAAACCAATTTGAAATAAACATTTTTAACAACATTTAAAGGCGGCTTATAGTTTTAAGATTTTCTGAAAATACCATGAGTTTAAAATATATGTTTCACAAATATAGAATCGTATGTATTAACTGTAAAAGCAAATAGGTAAGCCTTGTCATTCCAGCAGAAAAAGATGGAAGATAGCTGTGATATAAAGAACATGGGCTTCAAATTTTAAGAAATATTTTTCTTGGTATGTCACTTAACAATGAGCCTCAGTTTCTTCAACTGCAAACATAATAATGACCTCTGTGGTGGTGCTGAAAGGATCAAATAGCAAAAACTATATGTTATAGATAAATATACAAATAAAATTATACAGTCCCCTTATTCCCAAAAGGGACATGTGGGAGAATAGATATATTCAGGCTTTCCAAGAGGAAAAAATATAACACTAGCTCCCAGGCATAGACGAGGTAATGGTTCCAAAGGAATCTGCTCAGATCCAAGAGTACAGATTTCACAACAAGGACACAACATTAAACTCTGAACCACTTCATAATTCAAATTTAAAAAAAGAACAAAAAATTAAAAACAAAAACACCAAAGTTGTTCAAACATGGAGTCTGAACTATAAGAAGAAGGCTAGTAAAGATTGCATCGTGTTCATCCACACACTACATTATCCCAGGATAAAACAAAATAAAACAAAATGTATTCTACAGTATTATAGTAGATTCCAAATGGAAAATTTCTTTTCTCATCATCACAGACCATGCTCCCACAAGGACACAAAACAATACACATAGAAAGTGAGAAATTTTCCACTGGGAGCAGAGAAAATTCTTAGAGAGAAAAATAATAGGCTGTGGTTAACTTCATAGAGCATCTTAGAGGCATTTCCAAAATAATTAAAGACAAATTTCAGGTTTCTTAGCTACCTCTTTCAGTAAGATATATACACAATTTGGGAAACTGGTATTAACTGATTAATACCAATATTCTTTTGAAAAGCAGGATTTATCCTGGAATAAAAATAGTCTAGTATGGACAATTCACTAAAGTAACTTTTAATCCTCTTCTTAAATTGAAGAATAAGAGATCGCAAAGATCAGTACTATTTAAGAGGACATATACAAACTGCCACTAATTTCACCCAAAGTCACCAGATGTTTGCTGATGACACTGGTAGTTATCACATGGATTAAAATTTTACAGGCTAGGGGTAATATTCATCCATGCCTTTGCTTTTTTTCCTTCCAAAAAAAGATGTCAATATTTTTTTCTTTTAGCCAGTTCAACTTCATTGTTTGCACACTACTGAAACAAGACCTCTTCAATATCCACCGGTTTGCTGAAGATGTTAAAGCGTTTATCTGTCGCCAGCCTCTTGGTTACATCCCTGAGAAACAACCGCAACTCTCTTAAAGTATTTTCCTCTTGGTCCTCCATCCGAATTTTCTCTGATTCTGATAACTGACGAGGTGGAGAAGGTAACGCAAGTGGAAGTACCTCCATTGCACAAAGACCTAAAGAAAGTAGAAGAAAATGTTAAGATTCCAACATGGCAGGTCCATGACCTACCTCAATTATTTTTCTCGCACTCCCTTGAAATGTTCTTTTAAGAACAGAATTCCAAATATACATGAACCATGCAAGTCCAGCAAGTAAAGATTTAAATGGGAACAAAAGTACATAAGGGAATTACTTATAAAATAACTTACAACAGGACTTCTTGAAAGGGCACAGGATATAATTTTGAATAATTTGATCTTGAGATATTATTTACATACAACTTTAAGAGAAATATTTCAGATCAACATAAATATCTTCAGGTGAAGTACTTGTATATGGTTTGCTGAAGTCAACTTTAATAAAGATTGTTTCTCAAAATGAGGTTGCTTTATGTAGAGTAAACAGGCAAGTAATAATCCTTTGATCCCTCCCATTCCCAAACACTTCTGATTTTACACAAGTCTCCTACTCTCATATTCTTAATACAACACAGTCAGGATAGTAAATGGCACCTGCAGGGCATGGGGGGCAAAGCAGTAACTAAAAAAAAAAATCCCAAAGACATAGAGAAGATGGAAAACCCAGTCTTAAGTTTTATATATAAAATCTATGGTATTCACTATATACTGTAAAACAAACAAAACATCTTCTTAGAAGGTAAAGTATTAACTTGCCTAATCATAATGCTCTCTAATTCCTTAAAAGATTTTGCTGGTATCACACTGAAGCTCAGGATTAAAATTCTAAGTATTCTTGCTGATTTCTAAATAGCCCCTAAGATGAAAAATGAAAGTCAACAGGAGGAGCAACTCAAAAAAAAATAATAATAATGTTAATCCTTAACATAGAAAATTCAGATCTACAGGACTTTAATATATCTAGGAACATGCAAGATACTTTATTAAAATGAATCACTTTAATAATAAAATATTTTAAATGCTGTTATTTAGATTAGAAGAAGGCAACAACCAATAAACAGAAGGTATAACTTCCATATTGAATTCCCAGGGTTTCTGGGGGGAAAACCCCAGAAACTATATTAATTTGATAGATGTCCATCTTATAAACACTGAGAAAAATGTGAAAAGGAGCCAGTAAAGGCTTAGATTTAGATTTATTAAAAGATATAGATTTATTAAAGTATTGGATAATATAACCACTGAAAAACAAAGAAGTATTTAATAACATAACCAACGAAAAACAAAGAAGTATGAAACAGTAAGGAGTTGGCAGAAATGGGAAATGTATTTAAATATCCCTTAAGAACAGCCACGAGAAACACAAAAAAATAGAACAAAAGATAAGAGGCTTAAATTTTTTCTAATAAACAGTACTATTATTTTTTCAAAGACACTGAAAGACAGATTAATCAAGAGGATCTTATCTTTTACCACCTTTAAGATTAGGAAAAGAAACCACTGAAGAATTTAGAATGCAGCCCTTTCTAAGTCAGAGGACTGAATAATTTTGAGGCCCCTCTTAAGGCCAAGAAAACTCTAATGCTTAAAGAGCCATGATAGACTTCCAAGTGCCTAGCATAATATGTTTAACAAAATAGGTGCTCAATAAATATTTTTAAAATCAATTAATAAATAAAATAAACCAGAAAAGGCAGTTGTTCTAATCAGGCCCAACAAAACAACCCTGACCCAGAAAGCAATCAACACAACACCTGTTGTTCACAACCTGCTGGTTCAAGCCCTCAGTACTAAAAATGACTAAAACAGAGCAGAACTAAAGACTTTTTCCATGACTTTTTGAGTCTGATAAATCTACTAGAGCATCTGGACTGAAGTGATGAGGAGACTACTTCATTAACAGTCATCCATTAGAAAAGCTTTAAGGATGAGGCTGTACTTCCCAATCTCAAGTCAGTTAAACACAATGGCCACTTCCATGTGTCCATCTAAAGTTAAACAAAACCTAAAAAACTGTCTTCCACAAAGAACTGTTTTGTTTTAATGACTCCAAGAAAGGATATTTCTTAACTCCAACTCCCCCCGCACCCCGCATTTTCCTAAAGGCTTTAGGAACTTTACCAGTGTGTTTCCTTCGTGGTGGAGCCATTGAGGCCTGATTGAGAATCAGTTCTTGGAAAAATTTTCTTCTGTCCTCTTCAATAGGCCTTTGAATATACAAGACCTCTTCGTACTGTATTCTAAAGATACATTTAACCTACACACATACACACACACACACAAAGACATTAAATATTAAGAGAATTAAAAGCTTATATATTATACCAAATTATAATTTCTTCAACTTCGGTACCATTTTCAATGTTCACTGAATATTCATGCAGGATTAAAGCAGTCTCAGGCTATGCTGTTGAGAGGTTCAACCTCATGGAATAAACAAGAATGAAATAATGATCCAGTTCAATTCATTAATAAATTATGATATAAAAAAGGATAGCTGATTACAATAGTCAGATGGGGACAATCTCGAAAAGCTGTTACACGAGCTGAAAAGTAATTATCTACAATCTGTCAACACAATAGAGAGCAAAGAGGATACTAACAGCATGGCCTTCTCTTAAGATGTTTTTGTGTGCTTCCTATCCACTGACTTCCTCTCCTGAGTCTATCCCACTGGATCCTCTGGAATCCTGGTTTCAGAGAAGATAAACTATACCTTCAATCTCATCAAAGGATGGTCCACAGTGACATCACCTTCCATGCAAAACTCCCAAGCAAAATTAAGCCTGCCATACTCATATCCCAATTCCTTCCAGTTAGTGACTGTCATCTCTCCTTTGTTCACCTACTCTATAAAGACTTTGACCCCAGATGTCCCCCTTCTAAAATATGCTGCTTAAATCCTCTTTACATCATTCACATTTGTCTATACATTTTATTTGATTTTTTAAGGTCTATTTTCTACTTCTAGACACCAAACTTCCTAAGAACAGAATTCATCTATTTTCCTATACCTACCACTATACCTGGAACCTAGCAATGCTTAATAAGCATGAACTGAATGAGTAAAGCTTGTGCTTTTGTTTCCCAGCCCGCATCAAATTGGAAACTGCAAAGAAAACAAGGAAAAAGGTCACTAATACAGAAAGAAGTCCCAACCATGACAGTATGGAAATACTGGATTAAAATTTAAGACATCAGATTCTAGCCCAAATTCAGGCATATATTTCTTATAAACTTTGGATAGTCCATTCAGTTTGTCACTATGAATTGTAGAAATTCTTAAAAATTATTTTAACCTATCTTTGTAACAAGGAGGTACATGGAAGTCCCTCATTTTTACAGATGAAAAAACTTAGGCTTGGAAAGGTTTATGTGACTGGCCTGAGGTCATAAAATGAATAAATAGAGAAGATTAGATTACATAAGCTGTAAAGGCCATTTTAAACTCTAAAATTCTAAAAGAAGAGATAATTAATGAAAAAGAGCCATCAGAATTCAGCATTTGGATGGGAAATTACCTCAACTCAAAGCCAAATCCTTTAAGAGTTAATATAAAATTTCACCTTGTGCCCATCCAATATTTTCTTTGAAGACTACCTTCATGTAAAAATCCTTTAAACCCTTCAATCTATGCTATGCAAGACTTTTCTTAAAAGTTCTGGCAAACCAGTCAGGATGGCTGCTATCCAAAAGTCTACAAGCAATAAATGCTGGAGAGGGTGTGGAGAAAAGGGAACCCTCTTACACTGTTGGTGGGAATACATGTAAATCCATGGCTAATTCATTTCAATGTATAACAAAAACTACTGTAATGATGTAAAGTAATTAGCCTCCAACTAATAAAAATGAAAAAAAAAAAGTTCTGGCAAACACATCCATTATGTGCCAAATATCATGCCAGACACTGTAGTTATAAATCTGAAGAAAAGAGGCTTACTTCTTACTGTCAAGTCTCAAGTCTCACAAGAAAGTACTATGATACCATGCCAGAAGTGTTATAACAGAGCTAGTGAAACAGAGGAGACCCTACAAGGGGCAAAGGTGAAGATATAGCAAATATATAGAGAAGACAAGGCAGAAAATGCTAACGTTAACTGGTTCTTTAAAAATAAACAGAACTCAATACCCTGGAAGTAACAAGATTTTGTTCAAGTGTTTTGTTCAAAGCAAAACATTTAATTTCAGTTTTAAATATTCTTCCTTCTGATCATTTTTCAACATTGTGTTGAACTTTGTGAATATAAAAGCAAACCAAAAGCAAGTCTACAATAATCCCCCTAATTTGCCTGTCTAGACTACTATCAACAGCCTGTTTTTCTTTAAATTCACTCCTAACTCAGACTCAGATGAGAACTCAGATCAGAACTCAGATGTTCCCAGACTCAAACTTCAGGCTGCAACAAGATGAAACTCATATTAACTTCCTGAACAAATAATGTTCTCTTTCACAATGGTTCACAATGGTTTTTATATATGCTATTTATTCTTTCCTAAACTTTTTTTTAAACTCTCCACTCAAGCCAATGATTTTTGGGTGAAGCTTTCTCTGACTTTCCCAGATAAACTTAGACATACCTTCTACTTACCCTCTGAAACTTTAAGTTCCATAATTGTTAGTAAATTAATTCAGCTGTGCAACCATCCCAAGTCAGTTTTACTAAAAAAATATTTCTAGGGCTCTCCCACCCTCTCTCTCCTTTTGCTACCACTTCGCCGCCATCATGGGTCGCATGCACGCTCCCGGGAAGGGCTTGTCCCAGTCGGCTCTGCCCTACCGCCGCAGCGTCC